CTTGTCAGCTTCCTCGTCTGCAGGTGGCGCCGTCTCTTTGGTTAAGTAGTCGGCATCCTCGGCCTCTTCGTATTCTGCAATCAGACCTTGAACGACTTCCTTAGCTTCGTCGAACTCGCCGAGACCATCCTTGAAGGGCACTTCACGCTTGTAGCTTTCAAGGAAGGCGTTACGTTTACGGAGGGTGGAGTATTGTGCGACTATGCGCTTGAATAGCGTGGCGATACCCGTGTGATTTGCGAGCATGAGTCCGGAGACGCGGTGCGAAGAGGTCACGTAGGGCGACTTCTTGGTCAGCGCAACTTGAATGGAGGCGGGGCCCCAGGGTATAAAAGTAGCGAGACGTCGTTCGCGAATGCGCATAAGCGATTTGTGTACCTGAATAGTCAGTGAGCTGGATTCAAGCGGTCAACAGGAAGGAACATACATCTGAGGGATCCGCTTCTCCCTGGATGATGTTCAGGATAGACATGTAGCAGCTCTTCTTGGTGGGGTTGGTGGAGACCATGCGGTTCTTAGGCTGCAACAGTCGTCTCATGACGTCCAAGACGGTTGTCTTGCGAACGGTCTTGGCCTGCTCTACGTTCTCGCCAGAGAAGGGGGTGTATGAAGTCATGAGGAAGTGGCAGCGCGGTGTGGGAATGAGCGATGCGACGATTCCAACGAGATCGTTGTGCATGTATCCGGGGTAGCGAAGGGTCGTGGTACTGGCGGACATGACGGTGGACACCAGCTGGTTGGTCTGCTCGAACGACGGGTTCATAACGTGCAGTCGGTCTGCAGCAATCCTGGTCAAGGCTCCGTTGTCGAGGACAACCTGGGAGGTCAGTATGAGTATATGCAAGTACACTGGGCAGCTTACCACGGAGTCAGCATTCTGCGTCAGCCTTCTCATGCTCAGCAGACTGTTGTATGGCTGGACCACTATGTCGCCGTCCTGCGTGTTGGGGAAGACACTGTAGGTCTGGATGAGCTTCTTGGGGAACCTGTCGTTGAGGCGTTCGAGCATGTAGGAGCCGAGACCGGATCCCGTGCCGCCAGCGATGGAGTGCAGCATCATGAAGCCCTCCAGCGAGTCGGAGCCGTCTGCCTCGCGGTCAATCATGTCCAGGATGTCCTCGTGCACCTGCTCGCCCATACTGTAGCCCATGCCCCAGTTGTTGCCGGCGCCGGTGCCATCCTTGTGTATGTAGAAGTTTTCGGGGTTGTAGATGTTCTTGTAGGCGCTCGACTGGATCGAGTGCAGCACTCTGGGCTCGAGATCTAAAAGAATGGCGCGGGGGATGTAGCGGGTGTCGTCGGACTGATAGAAGAATACGTCTTTGCGATCGCCGCCCTCGGTCGCGAAGTCCTCGAGGTTGCCGTCGCGGTTGATGCCGTGTTCCTGGCACAGCTGCTGCCAGAACTGCTGCCCGACGCTGTTGCCGCACTGGCCCGCCTGCAGTGTTATTATTTCTCTGTTACCGATTAGCTACACCATGTGACCGCAGTCTGAGATATACGCGCGCGTACCTGGGCATGGTGGTGGTGGTCAGCGACGTGGTGGGCTGCGAACGCGCTCTGGGCGGGGTGCACGCGTCGGGTCGCCAAATGTTTGGACCCTGCCGTCATAGCTCTCTCCACAACACCATTGCCCTGACACCACCACCTTATACAAGGGAAAAACTGAACACCCTAGAGGCTACATTAAGAAGAAAACCTGCAAATTAGGTGGCCTAACGTCGATGTAGGCTCTAGACCTGTCCAGGTTTTCCCTAGGTTGAGGTGCCACCACGATTGTGAATAATCACCACATTACCACTACCCACAATAGTAAAGGTAGTTGTCAATATTCACATACTGCTGTCTATTGCTCCTCCTCTTCTTCCCTTATCCTGACTAACGACTTGCCCTGAAATCCAAAATAACACTGGAACAAGAAGGTATAGATCAAGCAGAAGAAGTTGTACCGCAGCACATCCAGCCACATCAGCAGCGTCACGCCGTCCTTGGTTCCCTCGTGCCATGACCTCCGAATCTCCAGAAATAGCTTCGGGTCGTCCGTCACCACGCCGTCAAGGCCCTGCCGTATGTCCCAACGCATCCGGCTCTCCGAGTTCACCGTCCATCCGTACACGGGCCGACCGTCGCTCTGAGCTCGCCGAATGAACATCCTGCCCCATGGCGTCATGAGAATGGCCTGCGCCATATTGGACGAGACATTCGGCACACTGAAGAAATGTGACGCAATGAGTGTTGAGAAGCCAATATGCGAAATCGAGAAGCCGGGCAGATATCGCGAACATAGCGGAAGAAATTTGGCTGCCCAGCACCCGAGAACAATGCGCTTACTCCACGGTCTGGATGGAGCAGCAGGCACGCTGTTGATTGTTTCACCAATCAAGCGCATCACATCGTCGGCATCGTTATCGAGCTGTATCGCGTCAGCAAGTGCTTGTACAACGGGGCTAGCACAACATACCTTGATATCGAGCAAAACCCAAATGTCTTCCAATCCAGGTTGCGCAAGATATTCGAGCAAATCAATAAGACGAGGCATTGGCTCATGAGGTGCTTGCAGCGTTCTCAGCTTGCTTATAAACTCATAGTCGCAATCTATAACTTTTTCGGGCCTGCCAAAGCATCTTCTCAAGTTTCTGTCCTACAGAATGGTCAGTATACGATCGGGGTAAGATCTGATGAACTCACATGCGACAATACGACTACACCATCTTTCGTCAGATGTATGTCTGTCTCAAGAGCATCTGCGCCCGCCTCGACTGCTCCTCTTAACGAGGCCATAGTGTTCTCGGGGTGCTTAGCCATGTACCCTCGATGGGCAATAGCCTGAGGTAGCCGCCTGCCTGACACATCTTTACGCGCAAACGCAAACGTAGCTATCCAGCTGGTCAGTTCACATTCGCCACCAGAACTCAGTAGGTTTCCTACCTGCGGGGAACTTGGTCTTCGGGCCGAGTAGTGGCTGCTCTACAATCTTGTCGAGCTGCTTCGTGAGGCTCTCAAACACCGGCGGTACTCCTACAACCATCTTTTTCTTCTCGAGCAATGATGTTTGCACGTCGAATGCGCAGTCGGTGTCTATCCTGACCTCAGACATGACGATATGCTTCTAGCGTGGCGGTTCCGAAAGCGGACGGAGCGGAGACTTTGGAGTAGCGTGGTATTCGGGGAATGTACAGCGAAGGACAACGAACGAACGTATGCGCGACTTCAACGTGAGGACAAAAGATACAGATCTATAACGGCAAACAAACACACAATCTCCCTCTCCACACATCCACCCGCAAGGCAAATTTGCGGCGCGGGATCTCTACGACCCATTCCCTACGTTCGGCCGCCGAACGCGCCCTCTCTGGCCGCAACACACAGCAAAAATGCGCCGTGCAGCAGGACCCATCATCCCAACCCACACAACCGCACTCCAGGATACCGAATCCGTCCCAGAATCAGCCACCCACATTACCGCAACGGGCATAGGTAGCTGCAAATTGCAGACGGATGGAGACACAGCCTGTCCCGCATTGGCTGGCAGGCCAGGCTAAGCTTCGTTCCAAGATGGAGCTGTCGAGCTCCGGATGTATCAGCTCCCGGGCGCCACTAACAGTTGGAGTTGCAGGTATGCAACCCCCCTTGTCTCAGCAAGTTATACGTGTCAGATAACGCGATTGTATGATGTGTTATTAGAAGTGGGATTATCCCTTCCTACGCGCTCTTTATGCGTCTTTCAAGCGCTCGGAGAAATGGTCTTCTCGGACTGCGGTGATAGAGGCGAAGGTGGTGAAATTCCATCAGATCCGGTGCCGTGGTTGATCTACCGCTAAATGCGCGTGGCGCGTCGATCAGGTCCTGGCTGGCTTGCCTTGCGTGCAGCTGCGCACGCCGCATGCCGCACGGGTTGCTGTCAGGAAGATGACTTTCCCGTATGCACGGCACGTACATATCATCCTGTGTATGCAAGGGTTTTGGTAGAAATTGCGCATGCCGTTGACCGCTCGGGCGTGGCGGCGCGGGCATGCGGATGTTCTAAGATTACCTATCTGATCGCTTCACGTGGATCTTGTGTGTCTATCTGGATCCGCCTTTTTTCGCAGACGCGGGGCCGATGCGGTGTTTGTTCGCGCGATGGAGTGGTGATGTTAGTATTCTGGCGGCGTGCCTGAGGCCATCTTAGGCGAGGGCGCGGAATTTGGAAATAGGCCAGTAGTAGGTGGCCTTACTGATACCTCTCTAAATAGTCCCAAGGCCTTGTACACTCATCGTATTGTGTTGGTGTATTATGTATTGTTCAGCTAAGATCTTGCTTTCAACTTGCCCAGGTACTACTTCCAAAGCATCACGCGAGCCTCTCAGCTCACAGAAGAACTGATCGTCTGAGTTTGTCAAGCCTGTTTAGCCCTCAGAGCCGACTGCAATGGTAGCCATCGAAGTTTGTACTCTTCGTACTGACTGAGGAGCATCTCGCGCGTACAGCTATGGAGCGCAGGCTGTTTGACTGTGTTCGTATCGAGCCCTCCAATTGAAGAGACGAATCACTTCCATCGGCAGCTTGAACCCGTCCTACTAAACTGTATACAGATACAAGAAGAGTGTGGGGGCGAAGATATCCTTCAGCCTTGCGCGATGTCTAATCCGTACCCGGGTGGCTCGTGCACCAGGGTCCTTCACAGTCACTGTGGGGTAAACATCACGATAGCATAATCTATCAACTTCACGTCAACCAACGGAAAAATACTAGGTGTACCTAGTCATAGCAACCGTGGCTTCATGTGTTCTCTCATCCAACGATCCTTCTACGCTGGTAAGGCTGAACGCAGGCAGTCCTTGGTATTGCACCAGTTTGTGACATCACACCACTTGCGCCCGTCAGCACTTGAGCATTCCTACGCAAACAGCTAGCCGATACCACGACTTTGACCTAGTTTAAAGACCGGCCTCCCAGAAACCCGGGTTTAGAAGCAATGACCAACCCCTAGCATACCGCAAGCTCCGCGGCGGCCATCATGTCTTCGCTACTGGAGTACCGACCTCTAGCGGAGAAAGAGTTTCGGCTGCTAATCCTCATCCCTGCCGTATCAATAACCGCCCCACTGCGAGTGCACGTCTTCCACGACAATGTGGAACACCCAGAAGCATCCTACGCCGCACTTTCGTACACGTGGGCGTCCAAGCTAGAAGGCAACGACGACAACGATGATTTGCTCGAATCCGTGGATGTGGACGGACACGAGACGTTCCTCCACCAGAACCTAGCCAAAGCACTGCGGTCTATCCGTCTCGAAGTCCCGCAGTGTATCTGGGCGGACGCCCTGTGTATAGACCAGAACAACATACCTGAGCGCAACATCCAAGTCACGCTCATGCGGCAAATCTTCTCCAACGCGACGAATGTGTGGGCGTGGCTGGGTCCGCCTGCTAAAGGCAGTAACCTGGCCATGGACTTTCTCGCCAACCTAGCTAGTCGTTCCGAAGAAGAGGGCATCGGACCGTGGCTTGGAAACGAAGGCATGCATCCGGATACATACCCCACATGGGAAGGCCTACGGGCGCTAATGGCGCGAAACTGGTGGAAAAGAGCATGGTTGGTACTATCTCTGTACGAAAAGCATATGAGACATTGACTGACTTCGTACGCCCACCTCAGGATAGTACAAGAGTTCGCCCTAGCCAAAGACGTAGTCTTCATCTGCGGCACGCGTCGCCTCTCCGCCGACGCCCTAGAAGCAGCCGACCACCTCATCTTCATGGAATTCACGCCCTCAAAGAACGAGCGCGTCACCGCTCTCACACGAGCCGTAGACATCAACCCGCGCGTGCTCGACCCAGCCCGAAACCTAATGAACCTACGCCGGCGTCTGCAAGAAGGGGAGCAGCTTTCCGCCTTGGCCACACTGCAGATGACTAGACTGACCAACGCGACGGACCCGCGGGATCACCTATTTGCCAAGATTGGACTCAGTGGACGCGAATTAATTGAGTTGTGTCCGCCGGATTACGACGCCAAGGCCGAGGACATCTGGTTCATGTTCCTCAAGGAGTTTATCAAGCAGAAGCAAGATCTCTATGTCGTTTGCCTCGCGGGTATGCAACCGAGGGCGTATCATGCGCTCCCTTCTTGGCTCCCGGATTGGGGGCCTTCGAAACCGCAGTATATGCTTACTTCGCTGTACACGGGGAAGCAGTGGCCGTTCTTCGATGCGGCGGGTGGCGCGGCGGCTGTTGCGACTATTTCGAGCGATAGGATCGAACCTGGCATCTTTCTGAGGTGTAAAGGAATCGTCATCGACACGGTAGATGGCGTCGCAGGCGATCCATGGTGGACAGAAAAGCCAACATCTCTCCGCCAATCTCGATGCAAGAAAAACGCGTACGGAACACAAATCGCTGCGTTTGAAGCGTTGGTCAGGACAGTGACTGCGAATACGAATCGCATGGGTGCGTGGGGCGCACCTCCTCCTGAATTCAAAATCGTCTTCGCGAAACGGTGGCATGAGCTGAGGGACACGACGGCACCGTATGAAGCTGATGAATCTCTTGTTCGGCCTCTTCCCTTCTACATGCGAGCATCAGGTTTCGAGCGTGCGTGGCGCAGTATGCGAAACCTGAAGCTGGATGGCGTCTCGTTACATGAGCACGTCGAGGCTGGTTTGGTAGATGCACAGAAGAAAGCGCAGGCGTCGAGTTCCCGAGACGGCTCGGGAGAAAGAGGGGGATTTGATTTCTCGGTCTCGGCGCCGTTTCATCCGTTGTGGACTGCGCTCGAGCATAGTGCTGGGCAGGTCTGCTATGAGAGGTTTGTTTATACGACTGAGGGGGGTTATCTTGGGGTTGGGTCTTCTACTGTAGAGCCTGGGGATAAGGTGGCTGTGCTGCTGGGTTGTAAGGTGCCGGTGGTGTTGAGACCGCTTGAGAAGGGGTATCAGCTTATTGGCGAGACTTATGTCGATGGCATCATGTATGGTGAGATGACGAAGGGGCTAGGTGAGGGTGCGTCTTCTGTGCCAGTTGTAGATCTCGATCTTTTCTAGGTGTAAATCCTCATCGAGTTGTACTTCGTCAACCTTATTTTGTTTGAAATATCAGCGCGTTGAAGACACGACGAGTGCTTCTCTGTGTTCATTATACCGCTTCAACCCATGAAGGTATGAATATAATATGTTTGTAATGTCGTCTATTTCTTTTTACGATATTCCTCATTTTCATCATCGCTATCGGATGCCCACGTACTGGCAGCCCTCAAGTCTTGCACCGTCGGATGCTTGAACATATTCGTGATATTTCGTTCCACAGTCGTGGCATTCCGCTCATCCTAAGTAGCGCCGTCGAATGTTGTCTCTCCAGGCCTGATCTTGGGCTCAGTAGCATCCACGTCTTGATACGCCACTCCTGTAGACACCAAGTGCGCAAAGGCGTCGTCCTCCTATGAAGCAACCTCGAACTTTGGTGTGTACTTTGCGGCGGCACTGGCAAATTCGGTCTTCTTGCTCGCCCAATCTGCGACTGCCCTGTGCTGTGGGGCCGATGTTTGCAGCTGTGATTTCAGCTGCTCAGTCTCTTCCTTCTTTCCAAGCAATGTGTTGAGGACGATGAGGTTTGCGATTGTGTCGGCTGAGGTGCCGTCGATAGAAATGGCTTGTTGGAGAGCGGCTTCGGCTTCTGGGAGGCGGCCGAGGTGGATTTCCGATACGGCCTGTGCGACGAGCGAGTGTGGGGAGGTGGATTGAGCGGTTGTGGCTAGTTCTTCGAAGACGTAGAATGCGGATTGGTACTTCTCGCCGCCCTGAGTGATGTTAGTGCCATGACATGTGACAACGATGTATTAGGGGACCTACCTCGCGCATGCCAACCCAGCTCTCGGCAATGTTGACTAGAAGACTGTCTTGTGCCCATTTCCGTGCGCGTTGGGCCTCTTTTGCGGCCAGATCTGTGCGGTTTTGTTGGAGGTGAATCTGTATAATGAGTGCTACGCTGTCCGAATGTTAGCCATGATTCCCAGAATTGTCCACGTAGAGGGAATTTCCAACGTACGCATCCAAGCTGCCCTGGTGCTTGCTCAGCACATCAAGCGCAGCCTCCGTCTCGCCCGCCCTCTCCAAGACGATGCCCGCGCAAAGCTGCACTGTCAGGTTCTCCTGTCCATGTTGCTCTGCCAGCTTCTTCGCCTGGTCCACTACGTCTTTGCCCTGCTCACAGTCTGCCAGTAGCTTTACTGCGACCAGATCTGGAGTCTTCTCAGATGCAAGCTCGCTGGAAACGGCTTGTGCTTGGCCCAGCGCGATTTGGCTGCGGAGTTTGAGGACGCGAACGGGGAGCGCATTTGACGCGGAAAAGGACGACGTGTCGAAATCGAGGACTTGCTGGTAGGCGCCGGCATGGAAGGCCGAGTGAATGCTTATGAGCTCTGGACAGTCGTTAGCGGGGCTTGAGCTGGCGTGGCCGGCGCTTTGACGAACCTCCTTCAGGCGAGTAGGGGTCCATGATTGAAGTATGTATGAGGTGGCTTTATTGAGAGAGCGACGGGAAGATATGGTATTAATGGGCTTTGGATTGGAGATGCAATGGTGTTGAAGCCAGATTGAGTTTGGCCTGTCTGCTCGGACCCTGAATGACGCTCATTGGCTGCTGCTCCGCAATCCCCATGTGGCAGCCACCATCATGTCATCATATAGAGGGAGATGCATACCAATGTATGTGAACCAATGACTATATTTATCAACACCAAATACTACCCCTAACGACAAGCCGCTACACCCGACGTACAGTAAAGGTCATGAACCTTGTACCGGCAGGCACAAGCGTCGTCTTCATCCTCTTCGATAGATCTTCTTCACCAAGCACGGCTTCAGCCTTCCATTCCGTTCCAGTTTCCTCACCGACCTGCTTCCACATCCTCGTCCAGGACTCTGGATTGTGCCAATAAGCAGTCTGCTCTTTCATGAGGTGTGAAAAGCTGCCGGCTTCAGGCTTGCCACCTTGGCGTCCAACGATGAGACTTCCAGCCACTGGCCTCAACAGTTGGACCACGCGCTTAGCTGCTTTGACCTGACCGTCCCAATCGAACAGGTGGAAGAACGAGGCGGCATTGATCATGTCGATCTTACCGTCTACCTGCTTCAGCTCCGAGTTGGCGTCGAAGATGTCGGCTTCCATGAACTGTGTCTGCAGAGTTGACTTGTCGAGAAACAGATCATAGCCAAAGCCCCAGAAGTCTGTTTTGACATCGGACGCGTACGTGTTCTCGGAGGGCGCGCCGTTGTGGACCAGCTTGCGGATGTCCTGGCCCATGCAACATCCAAGGTCGAGGAACTGCTCCCCGTCCTTGATGCGACTGAGGACTTCCTGGTAGGCCGGGTTCTTCTCGATGGAAAAGTTCAAGAAGCCCCAATTTCCCAAGCAAGGATACGGAAACTACAAGATGGTTAGTACAGCTCGCTCTTGTTATGTATGGCAGACTAGACTCACGACCGAGAATGCTTCATCTCTCACACGTTTAATGTGCGTGATGACGTCCGCTGATGGCACTTTGCTGTATCCTTCAAATAGATCTCGCGTTTCTGGACTGGGCTCTTCAAGTTGCTTCGTGTACCATGGTAGTAGCTCAGGATCCTTCACATATGCCTTGGTCGCGACAACTTGCTCTACTCTGCTGCGCTCCTCCTGGGCTGGGTCTTGCACTGGGACGACTTCGGTCATGTTTGGGCCGCTTCTGAGTGATACCCAGTGGTAATGAAACTACGTGTTGATCTCATTGTGAGCGTTGCGTCCCGGCTCTTTATGCTCCTCCTGCCTGCAGTCTACACCCATTTGCGTGTTAGTATGAACCTTGCAGGCTGACAACCACCCTCGTTGTCAGCACTGCTTTAGCCACCCTCTACATCAACTCGGTGTCGCATCTGCGCCGTCTGCCCGCGAAAATCACGCAAAGGAGGGACGTGGGATGGCAGGCAAGAAGTGCAGACGTGAGATGGAGATAATGCTACCCAATATAGATGCCTTGCGGCTGGACCTTCCCGGGATGATGGTGGGGGATGGCGGGGCAGGTACGGCGCGCGCGACCAGTGACGTGCATAGGCCTAGAAAATTGTGCCCAACGCAAACACCAGCAAAAACTCCGCCAACCTGAAGGTCCCCATATATATCCGGCGACAGCTCTGTCAATCTTCTGTTTACTCCCGTAGATCACCTTTACTCTATACACCTTTTTCTACACACAAATCCTTCAAGATGCCTGCCATTGAACACCCTACCATCAAGGGTAAGTAAACTCGACTTTTACAGCAGTCATACAACCACGCCCTTTCAATTGCTGACATTCGGTATAGATGGCTGGTTCCGCGAGATCTCCGGCATGTGGCCCGGCCAGGCCATGACCCTCCAGGTCAAGGAGGTTCTTCACCACGAGAAGAGCAAGTACCAGGACGTCCTCATCTTCGAGTCGACCAACTACGGCACCGTCCTCGTCCTCGACAACGTCATCCAATGCACCGAGCGCGATGAGTTCTCGTACGTCACAACCGGATGGGAAAACGCGGGCAATGGCTAATAGTAGAGCAGATACCAGGAGATGATCACCCACTTGGCCATGAACGCCCACCCCAACCCTGAGAAGGTCTTGGTCATCGGCGGTGGTGACGGTGGTGTCCTCCGTGAGGTCGTCAAGCACGACTGTGTCAAGGAGGCTACCCTCTGCGACATCGACGAGGCTGTCATCCGCCTCTCCAAGCAATACCTCCCCGGCATGTCTGTCGGCTTCGAGCACCCCAAGACCACCACCATCGTCGGCGACGGCTTCAAGTTCCTCGAGGACAAGAAGGGCGAGTTCGACGTTATCATCACCGACTCCAGCGACCCAGAGGGTCCCGCCGAGGCTCTCTTCCAGAAGTCATACTTCGAGCTGCTCAACGGTGCGCTCCGCGAAGGCGGTGTCATTACCACCCAAGGTTGTAAGCCCTCTCCTAGTCCGCTCAGTTCACGTCCACTTTTCGACCGCCATGCGCCGGAAAGGTGCTGCTTTGGTCAATGGCTAACATTCTTGTATAGCCGAGAACCAATGGCTTCACATGCCCCTCATTGTCAACCTCAAGAAGGCTTGCAAGGAGGTCTTCCCCAACGTCGAGTACGGTTACACCACCATCCCCACCTACCCCTCCGGCCAGATCGGTTTCATGGTCTGCAGCAAGGACGCCAACCGCGACCTCAAGAAGCCCCTTCGCAGCTGGTCTACCGAAGAGGAGGAGCAGCTTTGCAGGTACTACAGCAAGGAGATCCACGAGGCGGCTTTCGTTCTGCCCACCTTTGCTCGCAAGGCTCTCCAATAAGCGTCTGGCTTGTCGAATTTCTTTTCGTTACGACCTCACTAGATACCACGATATGTGATGAATATCAAAAGACTGTAAAGTCATACCCAACGAAACATCGATACTTCCGACTGCACACGCTCAGGCATGATCGTTCTGCTAACTACTAACATTTACACCAAGCCGGCGACATGACAGCCACAAGCGCCTGGTTACTTCTTGCGCTTCGGACCGCACCCCACTTGCCAGCGCACAACAATGCGTCCAGCTTCCAGGACATCGGCAGTTGAGGTTCTCGGACGCTTAGTGAGAAATGGTGCCTGGGCAGGCTGTTATCATGCGCGAGTTTCAGCAGCCAGCTTGAGCTCTGAGGCAAACACACAGTCGCTGGCCTGTGAGTGGACGGGAACGACACGGAGACGGGCCCTGCAACCATGTCGGTAGCGGTTATGAGCCCACTTCACTCAATGTTCCACGCGACATGTGCCTTACACGCTTACCACATCTCCATTCCATGTCTTAGCCATGCGTGGCGTATGAGGTCTGTGGGCCATCGGTACTA